ATGGGGTGTAGGGGGCTGCATGGGGGTGTAGGGGACTCCACAGGGGTATGGGGTGTAGGGGGCTGCATGGGGGGGGTAGGGGACTGCATGACTATGGAGTGTAGGGGGCTGCACAGGGGCAGGGTAGTCCCTCTACCTGTGCCTATTGGGCTCTGTGGGGTCTGCACGGAGGCCTGTCTGCTTGTTGGTCTCAGATACAAAAGAAGCCCCCCACGACAGTGTCTCCCACTACCGCTAAGCCTCAACAACTAGAACGGCCCGGTGCTGACACACAGCGGCGGGAACGGCTCCTTTGACTGAAGTGCCGGGGCTCTGGCGGCTGGTGCCGGGTTTGATTTTCCATTGGCGAACGGGACGCTCATCTCGATGTGGCCGCTCAGCACCAGCACCCCTCTCACATCTATGGGTGAGTTTTTCTCTGTAAATGTATGCTTGCAAGCACAAGACTGACTTCATCTGCCACTGAAATTCAGCCACCTCTGGGGGTGGAGTGCAGCAGTTGACAACCCCACAGCAAAGCTGCATGTTGGTGAGGGACAGGAATTCTGTTGCGTTACCTAGGGAGGTGGTGGAGTCTCCTTCCTTGGAGGTTTTTAAGGCCCGGCTTGACAAAGCCCTGGCTGGGATGATTTAGCTGGGAATTGGTCCTGCTTTGAGCAGGGGGTTGGACTAGATGACCTCTTGAGGTCCCTTCCAACTCTGATATTCTGTGATTCTGTGAATTGAAGGAGTATTGGTAACTGGATGGAGTAATAGTTCAACTACATTCTGCATAATACATATTTTATAAACTACACTGTGGAAGAACAATGTTCTGACTGATGGGAGAGCTTACTCATGGCACTACTACCAGCTTGTGTCCTTGGGCTCACTGCTGCCCACAGAGTTCCATAATTTAGCTAATGTCTGTTCTCTTCATTAATCAGAGTTATTTCCATGGAGACTACATATCCCAGCATGCTTCTGATCTGAAATCAATAAGAGCATTGCATGCTGGGACCTGCAGTCTTTATCAGCTGCACCTCTGTGTCTTCTCAGTCTACCCCAATTTTGATCAATTAGGAGAGGTACCTAGGCACACAGCGGGTTATGAAGGCAGCCCTCAGCTGAGCAAAGTTTGCTAGCCACTGTAGCCAGTACATCCTCCTCTTTCAAGGGACAGATTTGTTTCCAGGGGATGACAGTTCACTGAAGATGGATTTGCCCCAATATCTGTACTAGAGAAGAACTAGCAGTGGTGTGCTGATGCTGCCACTCCAGCACCTGTGCTGTCAAAGAGTATTTTTTTGCTATGGCGTTCAAATTCCAGTGCTGCGTGCTCATGTTCCTAGTGCTTCTGGCAGCACTGGGGTTCATCTCTCCCTCGTGCCTGGCATGTTAGGTAGCTGAGAAACAGTTAAAGCAAATTCCTCCATTTTTATCATTTCTGTTTCCATGGAAATGCTAGCTGGTGGTCAGGGATAAAACCATCCATTGCCAATTTCAGCTGTGGCTGGCAGCTGGGACCAGTTAGTGCTGGTTGACAAAAACAAGTGCAGTGTATTTATTTTGAATATATAATGAAAGAAACAAAATTTCATTTTTTTTTTAAAGAGAAGTTTTTGGAACACCGTTCCCCTTAATATCTAAGGAAGAATTGAAGTCTTCTGCATACACATGTGAGGTTTTGGCTCTGAGGACAAACCTCAGGATTTGGCCCATTGGATGATTGGTCCTCAGATATAAATTTGGTTTTATGAATTAATCTAATCTATCCATGCACAGACAAGGGCCCCCATTCTGGGCCTTAGCATTGCTCCAGCTGCTTAAAGGGGCTAGAACATTGGCAGATCCACCAGCCAGAAATTCCTCCCCCCTTGCAGGTGGGTTCCTATGCAGCATAAGGCCTTATGTTGTCTCCATTCACAGCCTCCGACAAAGTGATATAACGTAGGACAGACCCATGGGCCTGGTCGTGGCAAGAAGGAGCACTCTATGTTCCAACTATTCTGGGTTGCCAGACAGCTCTACCAGACCAGAATCTGGGAGGCTTGAATCTACTTTTGCTCCCTTTGTGTTGGACCTTCTGATCTGCACCCACTAAGAGGTGTGAAATAGAATCTGGCCCAAGATATGAATCAGGATGGCATTGTGAAAGGAAGTCTCTGATTGATGAGGGCGCGGAGAATATATAGGAGTCCAAGGCATGGTAATGGGATGCAGCAGCCAATTGTTACAGAATTATAGCACCAGTGATTATTATGATGTATGCTATTGCTCACTGAGATTAGGGCCCCAGTGTGCTGGTGGTGCACAAAGAAAAATCCTATGCATAGATCCAACCTTTTTAAAAAAAAAAACAAATTACTTAAAAAACTTTTAGAAGTGAATGTATTGCCGGTGAAAGGTGCCAGATAGAGGCAGTGGTGCTGGAACAATTTGCAGAGTGGGGGTGCTGAGAGCCATTGAACCAAACTGTAAATCCTGTATCTGATGGAAACCACTTCAAACCAGGGGGTGCGGCAGCACCCCAAGTTCCAGCACCTCTGGATAGAGGTCATGAGGCCCCTGGCCTGTCAATGCACAAAACAGGGACAGCTTGGGAACTTGCAGAGCAAACTTTTCTCCAACTCCACCCAGCCAGAGTGCCTCCACAGGGTCCTGAAGTGACCCTGTGTAGAGCAGAGAAGGGAAATCCGTCTCCCTAGGCCATTCAGTTCTTGTCGTCTCCAGTGAGTCTTATCACTGCGTGTGTTGGTGGTTTGGTGATGTGCTTATCTGTGGAAGGATGGCACCGTTTTCAAAACGGTGGAGCTGGCTGGTACATTTTTTTTCTCCTTGTGAAAAATGTTGGCAAAAATGAAAAACTTCCTCTGAAAACCAAAATTGGAGTGGGGTTGGGGGAGCTGGTTAGCAAAAAACTGAGGGGAGTGGGGGGGGAGGAAGAATCATTTTTTGGATGGTGTTTCAAGTGTAAATTTCTAACCAAAAAAAAAAAAAATACCCACTGTCAAAATAACTTTTCAGTGGAAAGTTTTTGATCAGCTCTGCTAATTTTTTTCACTTCAGATGATAGCACTTGTGAGAGTTAAGGGTGGCTTAGACAACAGAGAAATAAATAGTTCTTTTGCTCGGTTTCTCCAAGGGCCCTGATAGACAATAAGCTAAAACCTCAGAACAGCCTAAAAGCCCCAATCCTGAAAACACTAATTAGCTGCTTAATTTTGCACACATGATTACCCATATGAGGCAAAGTTAAGTACAGGTGAGTCTCATCTTACGCGGGGGTTCTGTTCCGCGGTTAGTGCGTAAAGTGAAAAACGCGTATAGTCAAAATTACATTGAGTTGAATGGCAGGCAGAATCGCTCGCACTACAAGAACAGTATTAAAATTGTTATTTTTCTCTTTTTTGCCGACTGCGTAAAGCTGAAATTGCGCATGTTAAATGCGCATAAGATGCGACAGACCTGTATGCGTGTGTTTGTGCAGGATCCTAGCTTTATTTTAGCAAGTGCTGGCTATTTTTAATCACAGTGTTCGGAGAAAGAACACGATGGTAAAAACAGCTC